CCTTCAGGGGCTTCTCTGAGGGCTCTGGGGGGCTAAAACCGGCCCTACGAGCAACCCGAAGTCACTTCTGGTTTGCTTGTACTGTTGTTTTTTGCCCTCTAAGAGCCTTCAGGGAAGCCTATTGAGGTCCCTGAAGGCTCTGGAGGGCTAAAACTGGCCCTAGGAAGTTTGTTCCTGAACTTCCAGTTTGCCCGTAGGGCCAGTTTTTCATGTTCCGGAGGCTTCAAGGAAGCTCCTGAAGCCTCCGGAGGGTGAAAAATGGCCTCAAAAGAAGGCTGACGTCAGCTGGCCAGCGCACGCATGCGCACTGACCAGCTGACAGGGAAAGCCTCGCGTGCCCTGACAAATGGCTCCACCTGCCACCTGTGACACACGTGCCATAGGTTCGCCATCCTGGTGATAGGGTGACCACGGCGCTATGCCGTCCTATTTAGCCACATTTTCTAAGCTGCGTGCCTGCAAGCCACGTGCGCAAGCAAAGAGCATGCGGGGAAGGACACATGCTCACATTTTTGGTGTGCGGTGAACCAGTGGTAAAATTATGTGAAACCTACCTCTGATTTAAACTGTCTAAACAAATGCATGTCCAGAACAAAATTTCACTGTCATTCATTCCCTAACGCCCCAGTTTAAATTTAAATAATAAACCAAATGCTGGTGTCCACAAAGTGGGAGAATGGCCACCTACCTCTCCAGGTCTTGGACCATGCCCCCCTCTGGACAGCACCCCTTTCTCCTAAAGTCACAAAAGCCGTGACCCATGTCTTACTTGAGAGAGTTGATCTCCAGAACCAGATTGTCGCAAGAGATTTTCTCTTCTTCACCTCTTTGCAAAGTCCCCAGCACCTCTTTCTGGAAAACTGAAATCAAGAGCAGATGAGAAGCTGAGTCAGTACTCAGGTGGATGAAGAGCTGATCAAAGCAACCTTGGGCCTCCATTCTGAAAGCCAGAAAGCTCTTTTTTTCTTCCGTGCTCAATTCAGTTTCCCTTTCAGTGCCACGCTGGAAGGTGTATCGAGAGTCAACACCCTGCCACAAAAGGGAGAAACAAGATTACCTTCGATGTCGTCCATCTGAGGGGAATCTGTCCAGCTGTCCGTCTGCACGGACCCAAAGTTTATCTCACTGTCAGAGTCACTTTCGTCTTCAGACTTGACGGTGAGGCCTAGTTAAGATGGGAGGAAAGAGGGCCGTGGGACAACACGTCATTCCATGCTGGTCATGGCGTTCGGAAGATGCTCCACTTGGCTTACCCCAAAGGCTGTGTCTTTGTTCCTCCTGGTCTGCTTCGTTTTCGTCGGCTGCTTTCCAAAGGTAACCCCTGCCTTCTAAGCCAACCTCTTCTGTGTTGTAGCCTGAAGTAGAAAATTAATGTCGGCTTGATTACCATCATTGGGGTGGGGGGGTGGGGGGTGCTAATTAAATAAAAGAAACAGGTGCATTGACAGCGGTCCCTTAAAAAGTCTACTTCAAAGGAGAATATTTGTAGCTGAAGGCTGAAACGAGGGGCCCTTAATGCTATTACCATGTCAGACAAATGGCTGTCCGGTCTCTTTTTAAAAACCTCCAGTGATAAGAGCACCCAACAACCTCTGGTGGCAAGTCGTTCCACTGGTTAATGGGTTCTGTCAGGAAATTTCTCCTTAGTTCTAGGTTGCTTCTCTCCTTGGTTAGTTTCCATCCGTTGCTTCTGGTCCTGCCTTCAGGAGCTTTGGAGAATAGTTTGTCCCCCCCTTCTTTGTGGCAGCCCCTCAGATATTGGAAGACTGATTTGATTTGATTATTTATTTGGCTTGTATGCCGCCCTATTCCCGGAAGACTCAGGGCGGCTAACAATAAAAAGGGGAGGGGGGGTACAAAAATAAAAATAGAAAGCAGCAATTTTAAAAAATTCAACAACAGTCGTAACCTCGAATGGGGCTGGATAATTCAACAGCCCCAGGCCTGCCGGAACAGCCAGGTCTTAGTTGCTTTGCGGAAGGCCGGAAGGGTAGTAAGGGTCCGGATCTCAATGGGGAGATCGTTCCATAGGGCGTTCCATAGAATAGTAATAGTAATAAGAATAGAAAGAATAGGAATAGGAATAGAATATTAAATTGGAATAGACTAGACTAGAAATAGAATAGAGTTAGAAATAAGAATAGGATAGTAATAAGAATAGAAAGAATAGAATAGTAATAGTAATAAGAATAGAAAGAATAGGAATAGGAATAGAATATTAAATTGGAATAGATTAGACTAGAAATAGAATAGAGTTAGAAATAAGAATAGGATAGTAATAAGAATAGAAAGAATAGAATAGTAATAGTAATAAGAATAGAAAGAATAGGAATAGGAATAGAATAGGAATAGAATATTAAATTGGAATAGACTAGACTAGAAATAGAATAGAGTTAGAAATAAGAATAGGATAGTAATAAGAATAGAAAGAATAGAATAGTAATA